AAAGGCCAGGCCTCCTGTTTCTTGAATGCCCAGTGGCATCAGTGCTCATGCCCTCTCTTTAAAACAGAACAAACCCTGAAGAGAACGTGTGATGTGGTAGACCCTGTGCACACAGATACACTTCTGAAGCATAAGAGTCAGTAGACTGTTCACACCTCTGACAGTTTCCTCTTGATTAGTTCTAGGCAGCACCTCGCTCCAGGTACCTCACCCCTCTGAAGGAGCCAAATGCCTGGCACTGCTTAAAACAGAGCCCATAAAGCATTCTGAAACTGGCTTAAAATATACAGATGACTACATAATATGAGTTTTATACACCTTTTTTTTATTCTCTCAAACTCAAGTTTTGACAACCATGAATTCTATTCAGCAAGTGGCTGGAAATAAGAGAGGAAAAGGGACTCGTGTAGAGTTTTTAAGAAAACAGCCCAAGTGCATCTTATGAAACTGAACCAAAACTGTTATAATGCTAAAAACTGCCTGAGAAGTGTTGTTATACTTTTTATCATATATACCCAGTAAATTAGAGATTATACAACCAACACTAAAAGACAGGAAACAGACATCTGCCAAGTTTCAAAACTGTCTTCAAACCACTCCTCTTTAATAACTGTTGGCAACTACAGTTCTACTGTTCATAGGCTGCTGGAAAAAAATAGTTTGTCACACACCAGAACCGCCAGCTTCCACCAAAAGGTGATAATTATAGTATTTACCATTCAATGATCATGCTAAGAACAAGGGCTCTCTCAGATGAAAACACACCTCACAATCTCCTTACATATCCATTGCTCCTGTAAACACTCATATATTGGTTGGGTAAGAGTCAGACTGAAAGAACTGATGCCTTGGCTATACAGACCCTGGGAAGGGTTTCATCCATCCGGCTTTTCTTTCTGTAGTCCCAAAATACATGATCTTCTATTCCCGGTATATCACACCACATCAGAGATGATTAGGAGAGCAATATTTATAGAAACACCAGTATATAATTTTACTTATCTCAGTGGAAGGACACACAAAGCTAGTATAGCCCTCCTCAATATAAAATAACCCAGGAGATTTCTGGCTAGTCCAGAAACAAGAAAGGGTTCATATACAACAGGTTTACCCGTGGTTCAAGTGCAAAGTTTTCACTTGGTATTGTAATAGCCTAGTAATGCACACACCCATCACCTTCCCCAGCTGAACAGGAGGAACTTATGACTGTATTGATACAAGTCGTTCATTACTCCAGTCAAAGCAACCAACCAAGAGAAATTTCAGTTTTGCTATCGCTGTTGTGCTTTTAGTCACAAGGCTCATAAAGAGGGTGTAGAACTGAATGGTGGAAGTAACACCCTAAACTACTAGAAGTGACAACACCTTTTGACTTGCTTTGTACTATTTCTCAGGCTCAGAAGAGTCCCTTACTTCTCAGATCCATATGCAAGACTGGATTTATTGGGGAGACTAAGAGAGCTTTCAAATCTTGAGCTGTGTGCTCCCGGGACAGTTGACAGGAGCAGCACCAACACACGGCTATGTCAAATGCACTGCTTCTTTGAATACTTTAACACATTTCTTCCTCAAGCACATGACAATCATAAATACTGAACTAAATAGTAATCTTACTAATTAACATATGCATGTTTAAACGATTCAAAGACAAAAAATATAAAAATACAACTCCAGGACTTCTAAAAGGGAGGCCAGCTGGCCAGTCTCCTCACCGTCCTCTTTCCTTTTGCTGGCTGTTATTTTATTCTCTTACGGATGCAATTGTGAATTCTACAGAACAGAGACAATAAGAAATGCACATCCAAGCTACACACATCTGGTTATTTTTACTATTGTAACACTGACAACTTGCGAAACCTGTTTTGTTATCAGCTAGGAAGTGCAGTACGACTTACCATAAGCCAGTTAGGATAACTTCAGATTTGTAATAAGAGAAAATACCCAGTGCAAGAACATTTGCTTCTGGAGAATACATTTTCATAGACTGTAACACCTTAGATTAATTAACTCTAGGTACTTACGATACTTGTAAACCATGGACAGTCCTAACATATTTGCCCTAGGGTACAAATAATTTTTTCTCTTCAAGAATCAATGCTACGCTGTAAGACTTGCTTTTAAAATTAACATTTTAAGGATACGAAATGGCTTTCTAAGCATAGCTGAAAGACACTAGCTTATAAAATTTATTTCTTCTTTGACCAATTTCTGCTCCTCATTTGGAAAAGTGATGTACTCATTCAAAAGTAATGAAACTCCCTGCTTTGAAAACTGTTTTCTCATGTTACAGTGATTTAAGTACCTTTCATAGTTTCAGCAGCCCTATATGTATGACCACACTGGAATACAGGTACATGTTTTTCTTTCCTAGAATAAGATAATCTGAAGACAAATTAAAACATCATAGAAATACATTTTCAGTTGGCATAAGAATTATCAATAACACTCAACACTAGAGGCAAAATGCATTTTGATATTAGGAAATGTATGAGATGTATGAAATCATTATGCTGGAAGCTGTATGGTTCCAAATGTATGGAATGTATGGATGTATGAAATCATTATGCTCAGCTGTACGGTTCCAAATAAGCTAGCAGGTCACACATGTTAACAGGCTTACAACAAACAATAATAAAAAAAAAATCTGTACAGTTATACCACTTTCTTCTAATGAAAAATTAAAAATGCATAGCATTTTTGGATGTCTTATCTTTTTATAATTTGCCCTTCCTGTTAATACCCAATACCACTTTGTATTCTGAAATGACACTTGCCAGATGTATTGAGTTGCCAAGGTTGCAGCACTACACCACAACCTGCATCACCATGTGCCAGCAATGACTTCAGTGACCTAACCTAACCACAGAGAACTGAATCTTTGCACTACTTTTTTCCTTAGGGGCAGGGTGTGAGTTACAAAGTAGATTTCAAAATGTTTCCTGGCTCTAGCCATGCTTCGGTCACTGAAAAGACCGAATTTGTGTGTAATTATGAAAGATACTGTCTGGGGATGCCAACTGCACTGAAATATATGAATGTTTTTAACTCGCTAAACATGTCTCAACTCAGCAGCATGCTTATCTAAAAAACAAAATACTACTTTTCAAGTTTTAGGTATGCAAAAATTCAGAGATAAGGCAATCCTAAAACCTTACACGTTTGGGCTAGAGCAGTAAAGTTTTTGTTTTGTCTATGAAGTGATTCTGAAAATAAATTTACAAGGCTTTTTCAAACTCAGTCTTAAGATTTTGCTACTTCAATCTGTATTTAAATAAAGCCTTTATTAACCCTTTTATGAAGAAACAAGCTTAAAATCTGTTGACTCATACACAAGTTACAAGATAAAACACATTTGTTTCCAGAAGTTTTGGTGTCACTGTTAGTTTGTTTTCTGGAGAAAGGATCTGATGATTCAATGTTCAGGCAATGTTTTTTCTATTGTGTCACAGAATATTCTCTCTATTCTATTTTTTGTCATAAGAAGTAATTAATTACTTTTTATAAAGCACAGAAAGGTTTCACACTGAAATAGATTAAAAGTCACTCCAGTCAAAATCTATGCTAATGTGTCTCCTATTTACTACACTTGGTGACACTATGAGCACATGTGCTGTCTCCCAACACACATACACAACTTTAAACTACCAGTTTAGATAACAACCTACTGCACCATGTTACGATCAGTTAAAAAAAAAACACTTCTTTGAGACATAAATCCATTAAAAAAAATCTAGATCTTAGTGCAGTGGAATAAAACACTACAAATATGGAAGAAGTGTTTAGTGCCCTTCATTGTTCATTGCCCTTTATTTGTCCTAAGCAAAATCCAGGCAAGAAAAGCATATTGCCACTTCTTGATGCATTTCCTAGTTAACTATAAAAGCTGACATACAAATGTGATGCCACTTAAGAGTCAGCAACAATCTCAGAGTTGGAGAGTAACCTTTCATACAGTGAAGAAAAAGAAAAAAGAAGGAAAAAGCTCCCCCCCCAAAGGGTTTTTTCCTTGAAAATTAATTCTTGATCTATGGATTTTTAGTAGGTGATGAAATATCACACAACCTAAAAAAATATTGCAAATAATATATATCTACATACATATTTTTATATGTCCACAAATAAAATTTGGCAAAAAAATAGAACATTTGAAGTTAACCTAATATTTATCCTGTCAATGATAATTGCATGTACAGCCATGAAGATCTTTTCTGCAGTAGGCATTGAGCTTGTTCACACTCTTAATGTTCTTAAACTCCAATAATTTCCAGTGGTAGAGTTAGTACCTTTTAAACTTATACTTTTCTTATGTGAGAGTGAACAGTCAGCATGCCATCCCTGATGAACAATGCAGGCCATGAAATAGCCCAGGGATTTCTTATGTTGAAATAGCTAGAAATCTCAGTGGGGCAGAGGAAAACAAAATATGGTAAATACAACCATATGAGTCAGGTGGGAAAACTAGAAAAAAACACTGCAGGCTTAAGTGGAAACAAACAGAGGTACCCATCCATGGAGTGTTTCTACCTAATGCATTAGTGAAAAAATATTTCTTCATTTGCCAGTCTTACATCCTTTCCCATTAATAGATTGGCTTCACAAGCTACTGAACTCTATCTTTGATGTTCATGATAACCATTCCTAATTCTTTGTGAACTACATTACTTAACTCCCCTCAAATGTCTGTTTATTTTCTCTTGCAACATATTCCTACAGTGCAAGATTAACAGACACAGAGTAGGCCTTCAGGCACTTAAGAATGTAAATTAGCCTAATCTCAAGAAAACAAGATGTGCACATAACTATAAATATATTTTTATAATCACATCAAACATAACATACCTGGTATTCAGTTTTATGTAAATTAGTTCTTACGTCAGATCTACTTCTGGGGTTTTCCAAAGCCCAAACATATAACATGATTTTTACTCTTCCAGGTCTGAATAACTTTTTACAGACATTCATGCTATATCCATCTCTACAATCATTCGAGACACATTATATAACTTTATTTTTTTATTTGACAAGCAGCAGTATCATGTTCGTCATTTTTGTACATTTTAATGTAGATACAATTATTAGGTTATCTGTCATATTACAATATTTAGGTTTTTTTGTGTTTTTTTTTTTTTAACTTTGTCTTAAGATACATTAAAAAACATCAACTGCAAACGTGAAGGGAAAAACAAAACAAAAAAAAGCATGGTACCCAACCAATTTGCCACATTTCAGCAATACTTCACTCATTCTTTTAGTAAAGTTTTAAGAAATGTCATAATGACATGAGCTTGAAATATCTATAGGCATTTTCATTGACGCTCATGACATGGCACTGGTGATGTTGTAAACAGCAGAAAAACAGGGGCTGCCAAGTGACCAATTATGGAGGCACAGGCCTGCCTCTTCCCACAGGAACACACCAAACAGTGACAGCAATGATCTCCTTACAATCATACCTGCAGGATAGCAACATCATGCTACATAACTGTATTCGTCTGCAGAGGCCTGGCTTCGCTCTATGTACTGTTTGTCTATCAGAACTTCAATACACTTCTTAATCATGCTGATACTTGGGTTAAACCTAGCTCTTGATTGGCTAATTACCTGCAAAAGAAAGACATTTTTTGTGTTATTTTTATTTACATAAGTTATAAATGCTATTGAAATATTCACTAAGGGCTTTGAGGCAACTTCAGTAAATTTTTCTTTTAAAGACAGAACTAAATAAACCTGGAATAGTTAATTTATAATAATCAGCAAAGCATCTTTTTACATTAGTATCAGGACACTTAAAATGACGGCTCAGCTCATTGGCTTGGTTTGCCTGCATGTTAACCAAATCTTTTCAGTCCTCTTGCTTGCTTAATTCATCACGGTATATATAGAAATAAATATTCAGGTTAAAAATTAATCTAATATTAACACATTTCTTTATTTTACTATTATCAGAGTTTAAGCAAAGTGAATTTTTTGTAAAATCATATGTGCCTTTCCACACTGGCTCTGCTAACTGACTTCTCTTCCTAGACTAAGTCCCTTTTACTCCTGCTTATGTCCTTTCATTGTTCTGCAATATTTAATTTATGGACTCCCAAACTTTGAATTATGGTAGTCTTATCTGGAAATTAAATGCCTAAAGAATGTATTAAACTTAATTTTCGCAACAGTTCATACAATTCTGAATGGTTAAATTTCACTTGACTGTATTCTTCAAAACTACCTCTAAAGTTGAACAGAATTTTCTTCTCATCCATCACCACTTTTGTTATCATAAAAGTCAGAGAAAACATTTTCGTTTAATAAAGATTTGTGAAACCTGTGCTTCTTTATAGCATTAAAAAGACATGTTCAGATGACATGTAAGCAGGTACACAGCAAAACTACCAAAAAAATTTGACTATAATGTTATAATAAGACCTTACTGATTTTTGAATAGTATAAATACATTAAAAACGCAACCTATCCTTAGAGATTCTACTGCACTAGACAATCAAATTTCCAAGAAAAAATAACACTTCTTTTTCAGGAAATTTGCTGAAAAGACCTAGATGACACTTTTAATCACAAAAGACAGCCTATGTAGCTATCGTTTTGTAAAGTTACACTACTTCATTGCTGCTGCAGCTGCCAGGATATGAGAGGTGAGCTGGATTTGTTGTATTTCATCCCATGCAGTGCTGTATACCTGGTGCTGGAAGGCACTCGAACTGCTCAGATGCCTGGATGGTGTAAATAAAGTCTCCCTACCACTGACCTGCTTTCCTATACAATTTGAGACAATCAGGATGAACCTCTCTTTCTTCAGCCACTGAAGACAGCCCTACAATTTGAGGAGTTCCATCCGGCTATGCTGGAACTTTGTAATACATACAGTAAAAAATTATTTATTGTAAAAACAAATCTATATATGCATTGTGGCAGAAACTGCAGCTGCAGGCAAAACTTTAGATGTCTCTTAATAGTTCTCAGTTTTGCCCATTCTCTTGCAGAGAAGAGGAGGAAATGGTGTATAGTAACAGAATAACAGAAATTAACTTGGAAAATTTTTCACATTTTACTGTAGTGGCCAACCTGCAGCAAAGAAAATTACTATTACTTTCTCCTCTCTACTTCCTAGCAATGGTGGGTGAGGCAAGTAAAAGATCTTACTACTCAAGTGTCACAATATACTTTGTCTGCAGCTTCTCATTTGTTCTGTAAATAAAGTGATTTTTTATTTCAGCTGGATTTCCTGTTTTCTTTACAACTTTTCATGGCTGGCTTTGTCCCAGCTCTAGAGCTTGCTGGAGCCCTCTGTGAGCCAGCAGAACTCACCAGGTAGAACTCACCCAGAAAAGCAAACAAAAAGCTCAAAAGAGCCAGTTTTGTTGGGCTAGCAGCCAAGGGTCTGGTATGTTCCACAGCAGTACAAATTAGAATAAACTTGGTGCTAACAAGGTAATATATCTGCTCAGATTTCACCTAACTTCAGCCCTACACTCGAACTGATTGTCATGGTCAGACTTGTTCTCTCTGTCCTAAGTAAATACATGAAAAGTTGGAATTTTGTATTGGTAAGGTTTTGTGTTTTTTTTCCATCAAGGATAATACAAGTAAGAAGGATGGATAGAAATACCTGATGGTCAGAATAAAAAATTTTCTGGTAATTACTGCATTGACCTTTCCCCCTCACCACTCCCACTGAACTTATTCATTTTAAGCGAAAAGCTACCTTGTCCTGAAAGCTACTGTAACGTGGAGCTAAAAAGTAAAACTATCAGGGCATACTGAGCTCAATCAACAACAGGTCTACCAAGGGCCTTCAGTATTTTCTTGGATACCTCACCCTAAATGAAATGTGTGGTGCTGTAGTCTAACTGTTAGAATCAGAGCTAACTACATTAAGGCTAGGAATCTTTCAATCATATCTCTAACAACAGTATAATCCCGCCCTTATATCTCAGAAAAAAGTATTAATGAAGCAAGAAAACATTAACCATTCATAGCAAACAGACTTCGCTTCACAAGATTCATTCCTACTCCTCAAGAAATCAGACTAGAAATTTTAAATTTAATGAATACATTATTATGGGTACATAATGATAAAAGTAACAATGTCACCATAACTAGTAACATCACCACAAACTACTCTTTTAAGAAATAAAAAGACTCTTGACAGTAAATCAAATCTTATTACAAGGTTAGCAGGGAAAAAAAGGAAGTTGGACAGGGAAGAAGTTAGTTATGCATAGTGTACAGCTTTAATAGAAGTGATGGTTATTCATTTTTTACTAAAAGTCAGTCTAGTGAGAACACTGAGCCATGTTCAATTCAGAACCATCTGGCAGTTTGGCCATAATCATACAACATGAAGCAAAACAAGTTACTGAGCTCAATGTATACAAACCTAGGTAAAATTTCCACTTAGTGTGAGATTTTCATCTTTGTGTTTAAGCATTAAGTAAATAAAAATCTGTTTTCGACAATTTGCTCTAAAACTTGGCCATAATTTCTAAAATGCCTAAGAGTACATGTGTATCACAGACTGTAGAGAGAACAACCAGTATTTTAAAGAATTAGCTCAGGTCCCAGTAACAGTTTAGCTGCAGCAGCATGGGGATTGTCATAAATTCATTCAGAGTGCAAAAACAAAGGAAAAATTAACCCTAATGGTTTTTGTACTGCTTCACCTTACCACTTGACATTTCACAGTTGCTCATTTAAGGCTACATCAGGTCCCCCACACTACACTGCGCACAAATTATTTAGAAGCGTAGCCTTCAGTTTTAAATGCTCTAATCCACCTAGGAAATAAGTAGTATTCAAAATTGAGAACTAAATGACAAAAAGATATCAGTTTCAAAAGTGTAATAAATTTAGTTAAAAGCTAAGGTAAAAAACCAATACTGGTGGATGTGGCTGGTACAGATAAATGGAACATCAATTTTACTCTCCATTTTTAACTGAGTAACAAGCAAAATTTTCACCTTTCCTGCAAAACTTGAAAAAACTCCTGATGTTAATAGAGTGTACTATTCTGCAAGAGCAAAACCCAGCATGTCAGAATACCCACTTTTCTTGCAAAACACTGAAAAGCTCCCGATGCTAATTCACTGTACTACTCTGCAAGAGTACTACAAGAACAAAATGCAGCAGAGGCATGTCAGACAGTGCCTCCTGAGTTAAGCAGAGGAAGAAGCAACCAGAAAGAATATTTTTTTCCAAAACATAAAAATTTGTAATCTATTCCACCCTTATAAACTGGTCTCAAGCAAAGTACACTTTGAATTTTTTTTTAAGAATTTGAGAGATGAAAAGCAGCTTCCCTACTACTTTCTAGTTTTAACTGTAAATGCTTAAGAGGACTTTATCATAATTGCATGGATGATTTAAGTAACAGGAAACCAAATAACCAAACGTTTTGAGAAGTAATCAAGACCTTTGCTGCCTCAACTTTTAGCTATTCAAAATCAGATTTCCTCAATTAAGCTTGCTTTCAGAGTATTTGTGTACAAGCACTATTTCAACATGCAAAACCCTTAATGTGTCTCATTGCAAGTTCTGGGCTTTACAAGCTCTCTGTAGTTGCCTATTTTTTTAGGAAATAAAAATTAAGTCGTGGGTGTGATAAACTATTTCTCCAATCACTACGGGACAGAAAGCACACAGCAGATCTCAAAATGACTGAATGCCCCTCCGCCTCCATGCTCAAAATGGTCCAATAAAGCAGGAATCTTTATTCCCTCTCCTGCCAGTCTGCTCGGAGGCAAGGCTCAAGAGACAGAAGCATGAATTAGTTTGAAGAATTAATGCCTTGGAAGGCTGAGAAAACTAAAACTGAGAACTGGTTGGTAGGAGCAAAGGTTAGGTTGGAATAAGAAACACAATTAGGCAGGCAACTAGCACAGATGGGAAAGTGTGAGAAAAACAAAAGAAACAGCACTTCCCTCCCAGCCAGTCTGTGATACTTCACAGACCATTAATCTGGAACCTAAAAAAATCTAGACAACTGTACCATTTAATGGAAAAGGGAGATGAAGATGTGCATACCTACATACTCAGACAACTTTAAAAATCTAAGCCACAAATTAGAATGAAATCCAATTTTACAATTAGAGCTCAAAATTGTGCAAGGCACTTCAGTGGAAATTCCATACCTAGAATATTCATACTCAGATTTTCAACTGAACCTATAGCTCTGTCAACGTTTCTTACAGGATACGACATCTACTGGCACAGAACCAGCCAACAGGAAAGAGCAAGAACAGAGACACTTAATATTTTAGTGTTAAGACACATTGAAAAGATTGAGGGATGACAGCTAGTGCTCCAGTACTGCAGTTCAAAGTAGACTCCAGTGAAATTCTCACTAATTTCACCAAAGTATTAGTTTTGACTCCACAGGAGAGCTCTGTGGTCAGATGTTTTACTCAACTATCCTGAAGACTTTCATCATATCATGCTTGAGAAGGGGATTTTATCTTACCTCCTGAATAAGAGCATTATGTCGCAACACTTTACGTGCTTTCATGATACGGACTATAGCAGCTTGAAGATACATTTTTCTGTCTTCATCTACAGCACTTCTGGTCTGCTCCATCTCCTGCGATACAGGAAGAACAGTAATGCTTAAAATACGGAAAGATCAACAAACCCTTCATGAAGGTATCTTGAATCTATACTTTTTACTTTAATAAAAGTGGTCAATTAATACAAAAATCTAGGTAAAGTTCAACTCCAGGCAAAATACTTCTGTAAATCAAGAATATCAGATTTCATGAAAGTCAGCAAGAAGGCAGGACAGAGAGATCCTAACCAGCACTTCTGGTAGGCAGAAATGCAGGTAGAATTTACTATAATGCACTGAGTTTGGCAGCACATACACTCTTGAACAAAATCCTATGTCTTACGAGATATTCAGGGAACACAGATTATCAACACTGGCGTTAATTTTAGCTGACAAAGGACATAAAACCATAGGAAAACAGAGTTGAGTGGTTCTGCTGTTCATGGAATAAGTTGCTTTTATAAACAACACCAACTATAAAGTCTCATTAGATAAGACGAGCTAAATGTCAATCCCACTTGGTACAAGAGGAGTAGCTCTTATCTTCTTCTTTCTTATTCCCTATTCCATCTTTTCCTGCCTATATTTTAAGAACAAAAAAAACCTGCAGTGCTTAAGCTTTAAATTTAAACAATTTCTTTACAGTGATGTAAGTCTTACACATGGAATCTTACATATGCTTACACCAAACTAATACAATAAAATTGATTTTAGAAAAATAAGCTAAGCTGTTCAAGCTAGAAACACAAAAGAATACTTGCCTGTGGCGTGTCTTTCTGCATTGATGTAGTAATTTTAAATTTCGTTCGTTTACTGCTGAAGTTCATATTTAATGAAAACGTAGACTCTGCCTCTATATCTTCCTGCAATAAAGAATCTTTTTAAAAAAATCAGAAATGGAACTAGAAAATTATAATGATCTACTTCGAAAAATCACAGTTAGGGGCTTGCATACATACAAAGAATTTCGGCAGAATTGTATTTGGAAATTCTAAAATGCCACTAGAACCAGGTCAACTCTTTAAGCTACTGTTTAACTAACCTAGACATCAAGTCTATTTTAGAAAACACTATAAAGAAATTTGACATACATGAATATTGTTAAAAAGTCAGTATGATTAAAGCAATTTCTGTTTTAATACTTCAACAGCTTATCTTAGTTGCAAACACTCTCAATTTAAACTAATTTTCTCCCTGCAAAGAAAGTAGGATTTGCATTTATTTATGGAGGAACTTCAAGAGAGAGAACCATTGCTTTCACAACTATTATCAATGTTGCCTTCCAGAACCTAAAGAAAAACATCTAAGCAATTTGTTATGTTATAGCAGAAACAGCTGACAAACTGCAACTTCCACAGTTCCATATTTATCTGTTTGTAATTTTTTCCTGTCAGAATCTCAATTCTTTTCCACATATGTAAAAGTCCGTTTCTTTCAATAAATGGTAACTATTCCCTGCAGTCCAAAAACCTTTACATTCAACTAACAGGACGACCTGACTGATCTTTGCAGTTTCCAGGCAAGAGTCCATACAAGTATTACCAATTTCCAGCAGAATAAAGTTACTGGGCTTCTTAGAGACTTTGGAATCTTGCCAAACCATGGTTGCCTCACAGTATTTGTCTAAACATATACTAAAAAAATTACTTCTAACTCTGCAACAAATATATTTTATTATATTTTATAATACCCAAGCGTTGTAAAAAATCTAACATGAAAGGACAAAGATAAACAGCTTCAAAAAATATAAACTAGCATTAAATTTCGGCACTATTGTGCTTACATGGTTGACTATAAACCAAAATAAATTGCGTTGTGTATGAACGCAGAAAGTGTTATTCTAATGAACCAACAAAAATTTCACCAAAAGTTCATTTTTTTTCATTTCCACTTTCAAAAAGGAACAAACAAACAAAAGCAAACGAGAACATTTAATACACTGTATTTTTGTGTGTGGCTCAGATACAGGTAAAGAGAAGTTAGCGTGTTTAATTCCACTGCTTAAGCCACTAAAGTTCACTGGTTTATTCAATAAGTAAGCTGATAAGACTACATATCAGCTTTCACATTGCTGGATGGAGTGCAAAGAAAACAAAATTAGCAGAGATGTTTAAATGCAGTAGCCTGGAAGTTAAAGAAGCAGAAAATGCAACAGTAAACATTAAAAGGTAAAAGGGTTGGAAAGCTATACCGTTCACTCTTCAGTGACATATGCTTAAAGAAACTGGGCCAACCTTATACAACAGACATAAATAAATCATTTAAATAATGGGTAATTTTCTATTATTATGAAAAATCACACTGTTCTCTGTAATAGCTCTCAGTGTTATACTTCACTCATGGTTTAACAGACATCTTCCCAGCCACTGTTCCAACCTGAGCTCATTTCTAGATATTGGAAGCATGTCCTATGCTTCAGCCAAGCATCAGATCTTCCTTGTGATCTCACTTTCCACTTTCTAATATTTTCCTGGTTAAAATAAAAGCAGCTATCAGAGCAGCTTTGTATTTCTTCTTGTAAGTGAAGTGAACAGCTTATGTCAGTTTCTTATGCCTGATACTGTCTGAATAACTTGGGGTTTCTGGGCTACCTGGAAGCAGATGCTAAAGTGTGTATGATATGCACAGGCACTTCTGTAGTGTTTCCTACATAACACATCTGTGCCCTTCACTGTATGGGAAGAAGGGTAACTGGTTTCACACAGGTCGTACAGAAGTATAAAGCAGAGTCAGAAACAGAACCTGTATCAACCATTCCCTTAACTACAAAGCTCAGATATTACTGGCATTGCATGAAACTCATGGAATGATAAGAGTTTAGCAAATTGCAGTGAAAATCCTCTCACACAAGCCCTCCTTGCTCCCTTTCCTCCTCCTTCCTCCTCCCGTAATCTGTCAGCAAGGAATAACATGGTTGCTGTTACTTTTAGCCTCTTAATCACACTTTTTTTTTTTTTTAGGATCTCTGTAAGACTCTGGTTTACTACTCAGGCTCCTTCCCACAATTCAGTACAACTTGAAAAGTGGCGTATTTAAAGAGTACTCCCTTCCAACAGCATTGAGTCTATCTAAAGCCATATGGATAAAATGCAACAGAAACAATAAAGACTCTTAGCATTACTACTTTTTCAATATACCATGCTGTCATAAGCATATAGAGCAAACAAAGACAGTCTACTTCCTCCTGTCTCTTTCCTTACAAATACAGATTTATAATTATTCAATAGGGCCAGTAATACAGTTTAGAAAAATACAGCAAACAGTGGAGTCTTTTATATTAAAAAAAGCCCTCAACAAATAGCAGAATCACAAGACTGAAAACATAAAACTTTTTTATATCACTACTACATACCTTGTCTGAGTCATGGTTGATCATTTTGACATCAAGTAAGGATTTGATGGTTTTTGTCAGTTCCTTCTCATTCATTTGCGTACTATCCTGAAGCTCCTTGTAACTGACAGTTTCACTGTTGTTGAAGGCAAGCAACACTGCCATTTGGTATGTTGTGACCATGGCTACATAAGGTTTGCACAAATAATTCATTTTTACTTCACCTGTAAAGATACATGCAGTATTTTATAAACTGTTGGAACATGCTGAGAAGTCATCTGAAGCCTAACTACTACAGCTCCTCATACATTTCCAGACATTCAATTCACACCTAAGTATGCTTTTAACATTTGGAATGGGAAAGTGAAAACTGATGTTGTGAATTTACACATATACAATGTGGTCTGCAACAAAAAACTCTAACTATGAATACTAGAACACTAGTGTTTTAAAGAAAAAGAGAAACCTACAGAGTTGAATTTGAATAATGGAATATAATTTATAGTAAGAAAAAAATGAAATTCCAAATAGCCTCAGCACCTTGCAACGCATAAACTTCCATTAGTTAATAGCCTACACAGAATCACAGAGTAGCGATTACAGGAAGTTGTTCCAAAGAACGATTTAAAAACAAAAAACTTGTGCCCTAATTTTTAAAATAATTTTCTAATATTCTTTATCTTTCCCTGAAATAATAATAATAAAAGAAAAAAGAAAAAAAGCCCTGAAGACATCTCCCTGAAAGCAGATGAATTTTCTGTGTGAAGGTGAAAGTTATCAGAATTAAATTTTTATTACATTATGTTGTATGACAGTCAGGTTTTAACCTCCAAGTAATATGTTATGGTGCTCAGTCGTTAAAGCCTGATACTAAAAGAACTTAAAATAAATTACCATTGACTGATACTTACTAAACTAAGCTACAATTTTATAGATCTCTAAGATTTTTTTAAATATGTTTCTATACAGCAAATATAACCATAGGTAAATATATATATGTATTTACTTAGATACTTACATATCTAAGTAAACAGCATAATATGCATTCTTAAAATTATTTAATATTCAGCTAAAGGACATCTGATACTACAGAAACAATTCCAGGGCAACTGTTATTAACTCAGAAGTTCTCCAGCGCTGTTTTGTAGTTAAGAATGTACAACTCTTACTTTTACTTGGATTTAATAAACCAAAGATACACAGGTTTACAAAACATAAATATTGGAAATACTAGGCATCAAATGTTAAATTATAACATAAGTCAGTTGACTTTATATTCAACACAATGTTCCAACTCCAAAGTCTGTTGCTCTTTGAAAAGGACTTTTAACAAATCATTGTCATTTGTATAGAGCATAAGTTTAGCAAAGCACTTATTTTACCTGTACAAAGATAATGTAACCAAGTAAGCTTCCTTCCACTAAAATGCTGACTGTAAAATAATTCAAACTGCAAAACAAAACGAACGTCAGTTAGTCACACATATAACTACTTACAATAGTTTATTATCACACTACCACCCCTGTGAAAAAATAGTGGTTTTATGTTCACCATTTTGGATGCAAACATTGCAGATCAACTCATGACAGCATTTTCCTTTAGAAGACAGGTGGTGGGCTGAATACGAGTCATTTACTGAACTATTTGAATACATTAACATATCACTTGATGACTAAAACAAAAGGATTGTTGACACATTCATACTCTCAAAGCATAGAATACTGTGGTATCCTAAAAACGCTCTCTCCTTACAAGCAAAATGATCAAACTCTTATATTACATATGTTAAAACAAAATCTGTTTTTTACAAGCTTGGCCATAAACTTCCACTTTAGAGAGACTGGAATCCTGAGGTAACTCTTTCTTCATGAGTCAAATTATCAAATTTGACACTAAAGACAGACATTGTCAATTTTTCAAAGACTCCCCAAGGCCATGTTCTGTTTCCTCAGGGGATTATGACTATAATTTAGAGCATTAATTCTAGTTAAATGACACATGAATAAGTTTGCTCCTTTGAACTGGCAAAACAGTGAAGTTCGGCGAGGAACTCTGAACTGCTTCTGACAGGCAAGTCTGTAACAATTTTAGAACCGAGGCACAACTGACAATAAACCCACAAAGAACAGGAAAATGTCATCAATCACTTTCTGCAGATCCCATGGTATGAGGTGGAAACTAGCACTAAAACCAAATGCCACTTCATACAGCGGAAATAAAAGCAGAATAAATAGTTCTAACACTTAGTAGTAATACATGAGAAAGCCCCTTCACCACAGAACTTGACATTCGCCGTTATAATTTAGATCAGATAGCAATTTAAGCTATAAAAACTGCTTAAAAGAAATCTGTTATGTCCAATAATATGATACTTTTATTGCCTAAAATGTTCTTCACTATTTAGGCATATTTACTGCCTAAAATGTACTTCACCATTAAATACACTTTAGCAATAAATCAACACACATATTCTGTATTTTAACACAAACACTGTATAGATAACATTCAGAACATAATATAATCATAAGTAATAAAATATTCCACCTCTACAAAGCAGAAATAATCAAAATAAAAATAATCAAGCAGAAATAATAAAAAGGGAATACGTGGCCAAAGTAAAACCTATACTGCTTTGAGAATTTGCAAAATTAGCTTTAAGGAGGTTTGCATGAAGTTTGATTTTGAATGGCTCCTATGAAATACAGGACAAGAAACCTGCATCTGCATTTTAAACTGTTATTAAATCTGTTCAGATTTAATATTAGAAACAAAATCTTATTTTATCTAAATACTAGGAATTGGTTTTAAAGCTAAGATTTAACCCATTTCATCTGATTGTATTAGTATCTCCCTCATAAATCAGGAAGTATAGGGGAGAGATGTGGGGAAAAAAGCCATGCAAGCACATAAATTCAGTATGTCATTTGGGTGACCTTTCCAAATTTCATATGGACTGGAAAAAGGGTAGCCATGATTTACAAACAAAATTAAGCAAATCAGTTTTTTCTCTCTTAGAGTGATCATCTTTTATTTGGAGTTATTTTACATTTTACACATGTTTACAAAAAGTCTCCTACTAACCTACCATCTGTACACTTTTTTCCAGTTCCTGAGGAATTGCAAATGTAGAAGAAGGAGCCTGAGTTAGAGGCCATGCACCAGCCTAAAGGTATCAGGAAAAATAAAAGCATTAACATTTGCATAAAATATATACATCAAGAAAAAAATAACACTATTAAACAGCCTTTTAGTGTATAATATGTCATAATACATCTAATTTAGGCAAGAATTTTTACTGCTAATTTTTTACTTCTCATTATTCATGTCCCACCGAGGTATTAATTCAAGACAAGAACACAAGGCATTTTACACCACCATTGTTTAGTGTGTTAGCCTTTAATTTTAAAAAGAAAAACTAGGAAAATAGATTATTCCACAGTGATCACAAGGTGTCAGTTTCAATATGAGAAGTACTCATAGTTAGAAAAATCGTTCACTTGTTATCAAAAGATAAAAATTAAATATATATAATTCAATAGTAATAAACATACATTAGTACCTGTAGAACATATATCTGAAAACTAATTCCCAAATCTATAATCGTGTCCTGGTTTTTGATAAAGTTGTTGAATTTATTGTTGAGATCAGCACTAACACTCATGTCTGTATACATTCGATGGAGCTTGCTGGTAAATTCATAACCACAGGCTTGCTGCAAACAAATATTGTAACAGGTTGCAGTGAAAATAGTACTTATTATATAAACTATGCACATTCACTACCGAAATATGAAAATCTAGTCAGCAGAAGTGTTGTTATAATATTTACAGAGAACACTAGTTACAACAGAAAACATGATAAAATTATGAGATTTATCTTAGTTTCACTTTCCAGACATTGATTTATATATAACAATGTTATTTAATAAAACTGAAAGATAGAGCTAGTTTATGAAAGTCCTTGGTACTTTTATAATGTAAATATGAATTATTTGAACACAATAAAACTACCCAAAACCTGATAAAAATCTCTAATGCCTAAGTGATACTGGGCCATATATCTTTCATAGACTACCAAGAAATTAGTTTTTCCTTTCAGCTATTGGAAAGAGGATCTACTGACTGCCAAGTTATCCTGGCACCCTCTGCTGCTCCCTCTCAACATTACATACTCCTATGGTTGTTTATTCTACATTAGAAGACTATTACATTACCTTTAGTTTATTAATCATGGCTTCTTCAGAATCCATAGACATAGACAAACCATGAATTAATCTTTTTGCCAACATTCTGGCATAGAACTGCATAAAAAGAAATCAGATATGAGGATTTTTAAAAGCATAACCACGTTCTTCAAGTACACTTTAAATGCAACACTTATCGAGTTACCTTTTGGAATACATCTTTGTCATCAATGTATTTGAAAACAGTAATGAAACTTGTAAGTTTGTCTTCTACTTCATTCTCTGTCATTCCTTTTGCTGATTTCTTCAACAAGTTGTCACAGTACTTGGCCAGCTCAAGTTAAAAAAAAAAGAAAAAAAAACCCAAACCTACTTGTCAAGCTTGAGAACAAACGTATGCCAAGGTATTCCAAACTTCTACACAAAAGTTAAAGCATGAAATTGTTCACAATCTATAGTCTCACGTTTTACTACAAGGGATGTATTCATAGGTAAGTGACACATACTACACCCACAGAAAATACAAATTCTATCAAAAATTAGAACAGCACCGATTTTGCACATCCACAAAATGTGCGTGCAGCTTATTTATTTCTACTGAAATACACACCTGAGGCTGACGTAGTGTGAAAAATGGATATTCATGTGATGGACCCTATGTTAATTCATTTGACAGTTATAAAAAAGTATTATTACTTGCTACAATAACATACATCACTTACCAACTCAGGTGCTTTGCAGATAGACTTGGGCTCCCTATAGTTAACTACTGATGTCAAAGCCTACATAGGAACATAGAGCCAAAAGAAAAAAAGTAAATTACTTAGGACTTGTTCTTTCATGAAATTTGAAAAAACAACAAAAAATGTTGAGGGTAAAGACCATCTGAGACCATATAAAACTGAACTACACAGAAGGGGACCAAAAAAGAAACAACAAATAAAAGGGTTTCAATTGCTGCTCTGTGAGAATTTGTGTGTTGAACATTTTAAAGTTGAAATTTAAGTAAAAGTGGAAAGAGTAGAGGAATAGAAATTAATTGCAGAAAGCAGGAGAGCAAATTCTGATTAGAAACTTAAATGTATAAGTGTGAAGATTTTGCTATACAGCAATACGTATGGTCCAAAAGTATGGATGGAATAAAACTGAGGAATAACTGCAGATAAAGCAGATTTGAGCAGCAGCACATCAACAGCAGCTTACATCAACGGCATGTATCTTGAGCTGAAAAACATACATGGGGTGCTCACAACAGTAAGAAAGGAAAGATCTTTTAGTTGTTGGATCCTTTGATAGACTAAAGAGGAGAAAATATTATTGGTTAAAGAGGAATTTCAAAGCACTGCTGTACAAAGATGTGTTAGCTGAAGAAAACCTGAATATGAGGAAAAAAAATAGGAGATAATGGCAGTTTATAACTGGAAATTGCAAACAAAGATATCAGAATCATCAAGATTAGTTTCTAAACTACACATCACATTTAAATTAACAGTTTAAACTGATACAGAACCAAAAATATTGCATAACCATAGTTCCTAGGAATTATAGATCCTTCTGTGGAAGGAAAACATTATGTTTGTTATTATTATAAAGACAAGCTGAGAAGCAACTCTTGTACAATGCCTCGACATCTCAATATTTGATAACAGGTCCCTAGAATCCCTGTGAGAAAGGAACGCATGACTTGACAAGAAACTCTTTGAAGCTTAGAGCACTCTTTTACAATAATACTGGAGGCAATGACAGCAGTTTTGATATTCACCATGAAAAATTGACAGCAGATTAAGATCTTAAATATTTATTGCAATAAGTATCACTGAAGAGAAGAATTGATATATTTAAGGCAAAACTACATTGCCTATGTGCCAGCAAATGTAGTTGTCAGTCTCAAATTACTCCACCTTCTGGTACATGACATTAATTACAACTGAGACAGAAATGTATTGGGATACTAAAATAAGCATTTGTTTTAAAGTACCAAATAATTGTTTTCTCAGTATCACAAATACAGATGGGCAACTACTATTGATATTATTACTGGTATCTTCATCACTATGTCTTTCCAGATTAAACTTGTCTGAAAGTTATCAATGCTTACACTATGACTCTAACTACAACCTGCAATCACTGTAAACACCACAAATGAGCAATGAAATCTACGCATACATCCTGTGACAGCAAAGTAGTAAGTGCACTCTCTAGGAAA